TAAATGTCGAGTTATAATTTATATTGTGCGTAAATATTAACAAAGTCACAGCATATTAGCTCACTTATGTAAAGGAACATCAATACCGCCTCCCAACATCAACATTAATTCTGAGACGACACATTAGTAACATTAAACGCAATCGCGCCCAGCGGTCGGTCCTGTGGCTTTCTTTAATTTGGTGCCAGGCTCTTGGTCATGTCAGGTGCCTGCTTAATTATATTTAATAATCATCGGAATTTTATTTTCTTAATATCATTTAATATTAAGAATTATTAATGATAGTGCTTCCAGCGATCAAAATAATCAGCGCGTTTGATTGTCGTTCAGAAGCATTGTCTATTTTCCATTAATGTTGTAAATGACTATAAAAATTTGGTTACCGTACTTCCTATTGATTTTAATAATTTTTGAAGTTATTCATGGCTAGGAAATCGCACATAAAATTCATATCTTCTCGTTCATCAAATCTATATTAATTAATATAAAACCCTGCCATCATTCTATCATCTTCGTCGAAACCATGACTATAAAACACCAGTGATCTATCAACAAAGCTGCTCCGGTCACGGTAGCTCAGCGGGACGATGTAAGTAAGATTGCGATCTGTTATGGTGATGGTCAATTGTAGCGGTGTAGGAGATTAAAACTGATCTGTGGTCCGGTACAGCCAAGAAATTGTATTGAGGTATTTCTTTATAAGGATAAACGTGATAGTGAATTTGCCGTGGCCTGGTACAGTCAAAAAAATTTTGCTGTTTTTTTTTTCATCAGGAAAGGCGGGATTGAAACATTTCTGAGGCCTGGTACAGTTAAGAAATTGTATTGAGGTATTTCTTTATAAGGATGAACGTGATTGTGAATTTGCCGTGGCCTGGTACAGTCAAAAAAATTTTCTGTTGTTTTTTTCATCAGGAAAGGCGGGATTGAAACATTTCTGCGGCCTGGTACAGTTAAGAAATTGAATTGAGGTATTTATTTATCGGGATAAACGTGGTTGTGAATTTGCCGTGGCCTGGTACAGTCAGGAAATTTGTCTGAAGGTTTTTCTTCATCAAGAAAGGCTGGATTGTAGCATTCTATGTATCACTCAAGAAATCGCAATGAGGTATTTTTTATCAGGAAAAGCCGGAATTAAAACGATGTGGTGGTAAGATACTGTCCAGTATTAGACCATGAAAATAGAATGAAAAGTCCGCGTAAAATTCAAGGTTCCCTCATTCGGAACGACGGAAAAGATTTCGCTATTTCTTCTAAAATATTCACACGTCCCGTTCATTTTTCATGCGAAGTAACGTACGGAAACAGTCGCCGTTAATTACAAGTGTAGAAAGTTTGAGAAATTCAGTTCAAGTACGGAAGAAATATTCTAAAGACAATTTATTATAGTTCACACCTTCAACAATTATCAAGTATTTGCGGTTATGAAGTCATGTCAAACGAAGGTTGCACTGGGAGTGTCATGTGTAGAGATGTATATACCGGTATATATATGTATATATATGTAGTATATGTATGTGTGTCTCGTATAGTGTGTGCACTTGCAGCTTTCTTAATATACAGCTGTATGTCTGTATGCTTGTGATTGATTATATATACATCCATTCATCAACATCTTTTTCAAACAAGTTTGATCAAAGACCGGATAATGCTTTTCAATAACAACTTGTTCTTTTTCTTCAATGAATCGAACGATGTTTTTAGCGCATTTTTAGCGCATTTTCTCATTTATGGAAAAAATGCACTATTGTGCTCGTCATTTTCGTCTGTCGGTCTGTCTGTCTGTCCGTCTGTCCGTCCGTGACCTCAAGTTTTCGTCGACGAGAAAATGCGCTCTCTGTCACTCGCTGCAGTGAGTACTAAGTTATATTTTTTGGTAACCTTCTTGCCGAAATGCCACCGCCGACAAGGAACATCGATGAAATCTTTAAAAAAAAACGAGCTAGAGAAAAATTATTAATGAAATCCATTCCCTTGTCTTCAATAACACTTCGTAGTGTAAAGGAACAATAACTGCCCAACTATATGCACCAAGAACATATTATTTATAGCTAAATTTGGAATTTAAATGTTACGGTATCTTGACACGCAACAATGTGCTCTATGTACAAGTATCAGTTCTCGTACGGCCGTATATATACATAATAGCACCAAGAACATATTATTTATAGATAAATTTGGAATTTAAATGATACGGTATCTTGAATTGCAACAATGTGTACTATGTACAAGTATCAGTTCTCGTACGGCCGTACATACAGCCGTATACATGCAGCTGCATGGCGTCACGTAGCAGTTATAACGCTTCGCAATTTCACGCTGCAGACGTCAAGATTCCCCGTTATTTTAAGTACGCATGCGCGGCCGCCATCAACACACGTGCTCTAGTTTATATGTTTGAATGATTCTGATCTTATGAACCTAGATAATATATCTATGTATATCTTAGTGTATTTATTGGCCCATATCTGATGACATTCATTTTTTCATGGACCAACAAATTTAATTGATGGTGCTTTATTCAATTGACATATTAGTTAATCATTAACTTTTGTAGTTCAATATAGATGGGAGGAACAAATATGGACTGATTCAACTTATTTATATTAATTAGCATCAATATCTATCAAGAACACAATTTGTTTCCCCACGCTTGCTAGTGACAGCTTACTATATCATTATTTGCTTAACAGTTTTCAATACATTGAGTGCTTGTCAAGAGTTGTTCACTTGCTGTGTACAGACCTTATCATATCTGCTCTGGCGACTGACTTGCCCACAAAGCAAATGACGTCGAAACAACGTTTAATTGACGTTAATTTAACGAAAAAAATTACCTCAACCTCCATTAAACCTCAGACGTCTGGTGGGTCAGGCGTGTTGGCAACACGTCTCGGCACCTAATCTACACGCTCTGTTTCACTGTTGATATCCAAACTCAACAACAATTGTTGTGCACTGTTGCACATGGTGTGTGAAGGCAGTGTCTGGCGACAGGTGCTTGCCAATTTCACACTAGTGTTGTCAACATGATTGATTCAGTGATGTTGTCAACATGATTGATTCAGTGATGTTGCCAACATTATCGATTCAGTGACATGCATGTATATAATACCGTACGACCCTTAATTTTCGTACGCTATCTAAGTAACTTTCATATCCCTACATCAAGCACGCTGTCATGGCCATTATAGTGGCGGCCGGGAACGTGCTCTAAAAATTAACGATATTATTATTATCTACAATGAAGTACATAGCTAAGTATTCTGAAAAGTATTCCACAAAATAAATAAGCGTGCGTTGCAAACTTCTGAAGTATACACCACAAAGTATCCTTGCAGTATCCTTTTGGTTTAATCAAGTTATTACTCTGCATCAGCCTTTCATCATTACATGCACTATGTTGTCACAATCTAGCTGTGAGTGACTCCGGATATGACTATATTAATTTGAATTGCTTTTTTTTCATGTACATGTAAAAAGCATTTTTGGTTTCTTTTTACATGTACATGTAAAAAGCATTGTTGGTTTCTTTTAATATGTAACTATCACACAATTATAACTATCATAATTACTCTAAGGATCACTTTGCCAATATTGACTGAATCAGTCATGTTGCCAACACCACTGAGTCAGTCACTATTTCCCGACATTCGTTTAGTTCTGAAATGTAATTAAGAGCTAGATAATAGTGTAACAATTGAATGTATGACCTCCAGAACGATTGATGAAGAATAAGCAGGCAAAACAAGCTATTCAGCGAAAAAATATGAGAACAATAGCAACGTGAAGCGTTGGCGATAAATGCAGTGAAAAACAATTAACATCAGTGAATGCCAAGACAATGCAACAATGAATTGAATTCTAAGAATTATTAAACCATACTAACTTTCAAGTATCAAAATATGAATTAAAAGATTTATGCCTATCATGAATAGCCGTACTATATCACACATTAATAAGTCAGTACGACCAAAAGAACGCTACGAAAGCATAAAAGAAAGAAGGCCATAAACTGTGATGATTCAGCACAAAACGCGCTCTGGAACTGCGGCCTGTAGCGCTATGTAAACGTAGGCATGATGGTGTGTCTCGACACATTGTGCCGTGTCGAGACACACTTGGCCGTGTCTCGACACACTTAGGCATTGTCTCGACACACTTGGCCGTGTCTTGACACACTTAGGCATTGTCTCGACACACTTGGCCGTGTCTCGATACAATTGGCCGTGTCTCGACACACTTAGGCATTGTCTCGACACACTTGGCCGTGTCTCGACACACTTAGGCAGTGTCTCGACACACTTGGCCGTGTCTCGACACACTTAGGCAGTGTCTCGACACACTTGGCCGTGTCTCGACACACTTGGCCGTGTCTCGGTATACTTGGCCGTGTCTCGACACACTTGGCCGTGTCTCGACACACTTAGGCAGTGTCTCGACACACTTGGCCGTGTCTCGATACACTTAGGCAGTGTCTCGACACACTTGGCCGTGTCTCCATACACTTGGCCGTGTCTCGACACACTTAGGCATTGTCCCGACACACTTGGCCGTGTCTCGACACACTTAGGCAGTGTCTCGACACACTTAGGCAGTGTCTCGACACACTTAGGCAGTGTCTCGACACACTTAGGTCATATCCGGCACACGTAGGCCGTGTCCTACATACCATAATGCAAAAGTTTTTGCACAGTAAACAGTGTTGTAAAAGCTTGAGGGTAGTCAAATATACACCTACTTGTAATATATGGGAAAGATATACCGTAAAAGATGGCACATTTACTTACATGTAACATATATGAAAGATATACCGTAAAATACGGCATATTTACCTACTTGTAAAATATATGAATGATATACCGTAAAATATGGCATATTTACCTGCTTTCAACATATATGAATGATATATCCTTATGTCCTTAGTCAAACCAGTATTATTTTTAATGAAATGTAAATGCTATATCGTAAACTAAAGCCATATTATTCCTACCCTACAGAACCGCTCCTGCAGCAATCCTTCGCCGTCCAATCGCAAGCGCAGCCAACCTCAGGAGAGCGATCCTGCCGACCTGGTGAGTGGCTGTTCATTGTGTTGGTGATTATGACAATGATTATGACGCGTTCATTGTGTTGGTGATTATGACAATGATTATGACGCGTTCATTGTGTTGGTGATTATGATGTGTTCATTGTGTTGCTGTGCAACTAACCGGTAAATGCATCAATTTCATACTTCAGCATATCTGCTCCTACTTCAGCATAGTTCTTCAGCATGTCACTTGATTGTTGCACGTTCCTGCCATTAGCGTTCATAATTAATACCCTGAACAATACATACTGTGACAAGTTCTTATACCGCGTATAATTCAAGTATTCATCTTACTGTCTTGTGCAGAAAATATTACTCATAAATAACTCTCGTTGTGCCGTTCTAATAAAAATTTATTTATGGATGTATTCCTTGTTAACATTGTTCAAATATTTCATATAAATGTGTTTTTATGCATCCGACGTAAGTTTTTTTTAATATTCTAATGTATAATATAATGTATTACTTATTATAATGTTTATTATAATGTATTACCAAATTCCATAATAATCGAATTACCAAATCCGATTATGATGCCCCAGGCCAATGAAAACAACAGCAAGGACAACAACAACATGGACGCTGAGCGCAGTGAAGTAGAGCGGCTGCGCGACGAGCTACAGATGCACAGGAGAACAATACGGCAGCTGTCGCTACGGCCAGCTGTAAGTTACGATTACGGAGTGACTAGTTCAGCTTACGGCCGTGACTAGTTAAATTTACGGCCGTGACTAGTTCAGCTTACGGCCGTGACTAGTTCAGCCTACGGCCGTGATTAGTTCAGCCTACGGTCGTGACTAGTTCAGCCTACGGCCGTGACTAGTTCAATCCGGTATTAGTAACTTACTGCATTAAGACGTATGGTATCCGTACCGTAAAGCGTAAAGACGTCCGGTATTAGTAACTTACTGCATTAAGACGTACGGTATTAGTAACTTACTGCATCAAGACGTACGGTATATCCCTACCGTAAAGCGTAAAGACGTAAGGTATTCGTACCTTTCTGCTCTGAGACGTACGGTATCGGTACCGTACGGTATATGTACGTACGGTATTCGTACCGCTTGCTGTATATACATACCGTATTCACGCCGTACTCGAGATCGTGTGGTTTCACACGCGCTAGCGTGACGCTGAGCAGCCAGCGTTAAGAGGAACAACCTACGCATGCAGCGTGACGCTATGCTGCACGCCCGCGTCTTGATGCTGCACGCCGGCGTCTTGATGCTGCACGCCGGCGTCTTGATGCTGCACGCCTGCGTCTTGATGCTGCATGCCGGCGTCTTGATGCTGCACGCC